GTTAAGTCTTAAAAGAAAATAATTTCATACTCTTTAAGATTAAAGATTATAATAAAGCTGTATTTAAGTTATATAATAACTCTACAGACATTTTAAACTATTCCTAAATAATGCAGAATGGTTAAGAGCACATACTTTGGAGCTTGTTCAGCTTCTGAATCTATTATGGTATGTACCTGGACAAATTACCTAACCCCTTTAACTTTAGTTTCTTAATCTATAAAACAAAAATATTCTGCCAACTTTACAGGGATATTATGATTAAATTAAACAATACATGCAAAGTACATATCAGCTATTTTTGAAAGAAGGCAACCTAGCACAGTGGTTAAAAGTAAAAGCACTAAAAAGACCAGGCTTACTGGTCTGACAGAGACTGGTGAAACCCCCAAGTCTACGGCCCTGAGTCACCCTTCACTCCTGGAATTGAACTCACTTAACTCTCAGCCAAACAAAATACAGGCCTAAGAGCTGAACACTGACACCAGGGAGATGCACTCCCTAGAACAATCAACCAAGGGAGATCAGAAGAGCAGCATTTTCACTGGGAGAAAGGCAGGAAGACAAGAATGCATAAGCAAGAAGGTCACAGGGAAAGGGTAACCACAAGAAGGAAGTGGGAGGAGAGCTATTACACTGTGGGGAATGTAACCAGTGTCACAAAACAAATTCCGTATGAACTGTTGAATAGCAAACGAATCTGCTTTGTAAAATTTCACCCAAATCACAATAAAAAGTTAGAAAAATAAAAGGAAAAGTGCTGGAGTCAGGCTGCTAGAGATCAAATCCTAGTTTCACCTCTTACTAATACTATCATGTTAATCTCATTACTCCTCCATGCCTTGGTTTATTCATTTGGAAAATGACAATTAATAACAGTACTTATTTTACTGTGAAATATAAATATACTCCCTTAAAATTATGTCTGGTCCATAATTAATATTCAAAAAATGTCAGCTTTATAATTCGAACAACTATATTATGTCTCATCTCAACAAGAATACCTTGTCCCAGACAAGTGCTAAGCCAGATGAAACACGGGACAACAGGAGCAAACCAGGATTGTCTCAGGTAAATTAATATATATGATTACTCTAGTTATGATGGGCCGTATTGCATAGATCAATCTACATCTCCTATCTTATTACATACGCTGAACCCATGAGACAAGGTGGCACATCTGTCTAGATTAGTGTTATATTCTCAGAGGCCAGCCCTGCTCCTAGCACAGGCTCAATAAATAGTTGCTAAACAGATGAATCACTTTCTCATCAAGACGAGGAAAGCTTTAAGAAAACTTTTTTCAGACCGTGCTTTGAGAAACCATCATTTTAACACATACACATTCTGAGAAGTAAATATTACAAAATAAAAGAAACTAATAAATTTACTTTGTAGATTCAAAAAACATTTTTAAGACATTCATTCAGTAAATAATTGGACTTTTTAATATAGACTATGAGAACTTGTTTTTATAACTATTCTGTTTATGTTTTGGAAATCTTTGTACTAGAACCAGTCTCCTAATCATTTTACAAAGCACATAAAGTATTAAAACTCTAATAAGAAATGGAGAAACAGTATAAGATACCAAACACCAAAAAGGAAAAACTGCATTCAAAATCACTGAAATCTTGTCCAGAGTTTGGCCCTCAGAATTAGAATGGCAGCAAATATAAACCAACATATCAAACAGGAGCTTCTCATATAAGAGCAGATGCTTCCCATTCTTACACAAAGCTAACCTTCAATATGAAAAAACAAGTTGGAAGAAATTAGTAACTTTACCTTCAGTTCCATGTAAGGTGGATCACCTTCCAACTCTGCTTTGTCTTTGGCCAATTTGGCTTTTCGTTCTTCAATAAATTCATCCAAATTATCAGCCATTTTTCTAATCTAAAAACAAGAAAGCTTCAATGAGAACAACTGTATCACAGTATTAGGAGCTCTGGTGGCGAAGTGCCTAAGGCATTTGACTGCTAACCAGAAGGCTGGCAGTTCAAACTAACCAGCCACTCCTTGGAAGGAAGACTGGGCGATCTACATCCGTAGAGACACTGCCTCAGAAACCTAAGAAGGGGTCACTATGAGTTGGGTCTGACTCGAAGGCAATGAGTTTGGTTTCTTTTTTTCATATCACAGTATTAACATGCAGGGTTAATCTACATTTAGTATTCAAATTCATTTATCAAATTGACAACTTCAAACGTAAGCTTGACCACAAAATACCTGCCTATTTCTTCTTCCAACTCCTCCCCAAATGTGAAGGGAGGGCAAACCACTAACTAGAGGGCAGACACATATCAACTTAGGTGAAGGAAAAAAAAAAATTAAATTTTTTTAAAAAGACTCTCCTTTGTACTCTTTTGCAATCAATCCCTGCTCTCACTTCAACTCAAGCAATCACCTATCTGCTTTGTCTCTTTAGTTTTGCCTATTCTAGAAATTTCATATAAATGCAGTCATAAAGTCTTTTGTGTCTATCTTCTTTCACTTAGCATAATGTTTCTGAGACTCATCCTTGTTTTTACATATATCAGTAGATAGTTATTTTTTCCCTTGCTAAGTAGAATTGCATTGTCTAAAAATACATGTTTCTTATCTATCCACCTGTGATGGACTGCTGGCTTTTTCCATTTTTAGGCTATTGTGAATAATGCTGCTATAAACACTTACATACAAGGTTTTGGGTAGACATATGTTTTCAATTATCTAGGACATATACCTAGAAGCAGAAATGCTAGGTCATAAGTAACTGTACATTTAACATTTTGTGGAACTGCGCAACTGTTTTCCAAAGTCGCTGTACTATTTTACATTGTAACTAGCAATGAATAAGGATTCCAGTTCTTCCATATTCTCACCAATCCTTGGTATCGTTAGCATTTTTTATTTCAGTCATTAGATTGGGTGTGTAGTGTTATCTCACTGGGATTTTAATTTCCATTTCTCTAATGACTGATGTTGAGTATATTTTCATGTGTTTATATCATTCATACATTCATATGTACAATTTTGGCAAATTGTCTCTTCAAATCTTCTGCCCATTTTAAAAATTAGATTTGTTTTCTTATTATTGAATTGTAAGATTTCTTTATACATACTGGTTAAAAGTTCTTTATCAAATGTTTTGTAAATATTTTTTCCATCTGTAATATTTTTTAATTTTCTTAATGGTGTCTTTTTAAGAAGAAAGTTTTTAATTTTTATTACATCCAATTTATCCACTTTTTCATCAATTCACTGTTATACTTTTTGCATCTTAATATGAAATTTTTGCCTAAATCAAGGTCACAAATATTTTCTTTTATGCTTTCTTTTAGAAAGTATTAACCTTTTCTCTCTTATATTTAAGTCTATGATCCATTAGGAATTAATATTTGCAAATGGTGCAAGGCAAGGGTCAGGGTTTTTGTTTGTTTGTTTTCATGTGGATATAAAATTATACCAGCGCCATTTTTTGAAAAGCCTAGTCTTTCCCCATTGAACCAAAATTTTATAGCCTAAAGATTACATATGGATAGAATCGTCAATAGATAAACATTTGAAGAAGCTCCCTGGTTGGAAAATGTTTAGTTTAGATATGCGTGGTGTAATAAATTACCTGGTATGGCTTTTCTAGCCATAAGTCTTTATAAACTTCGTGGTGGAATTTGCCATGAGCAACTGAGGAGCTCCTGCTTGTTAAAGTTATCCACCTGGGGTATTTCTGTTGAGAGTGGCAAAAGCAATGTTCTGGGAAGTTCGCTCTCTCTCAGGTGCTTAGAATTCTAATGCTATGATTGGTTAGTTTGGCCACTCTGCCAGGCTCAAAAGGCGCCCTCCTGGAGGCAGAAGGTGTCTCTCTGAGTGTTGGCTGAGAGACGGCGGGCTGAGAGGGACTGAGAGAGACTGAGCCGTTATTCCTGAACTTGAATTGTAGCCTGATGCTTCCCTAATAAACCCCATTATCTCTGAGTTCTGTGTGGCCACTGTAGCGAATTATCTAATTTAGCAGAGAAGTGGTGGGTGTTGTGGTAGGAAGGCAGCATGTCTGGCCTCCCAGCAATAGGCCTTGGGCTACTGGTGGTGATTCTGTCTTCTTCTTGTGCAGTTAGAGGAGCTCAAAAGATGCAGCCTCCTTGCACCTTTAGCAGTTGGTGTCAGAAACAGTGGGATTTGTTGCAGTGGCCCCAGACTGACACAAGCACGGGACTTCATAAAAGAAAGAAGGAAGGGGCCTGGGAAGTGAAATTTTGGATTATTAGATGGTTACTTTGGTTGGTGTTAACTATTAAAGAAGGTAATTGATTCAGAGGCTAGGGCTTTTGGTTACACCCAGTCAAAGGCCCTAAGGCACACGCATAGAATGAGATGGTAATCAAGGTGAAGAGAGGAACTTGGAATGTCTTAAAAAGGATTATGTGCTTTGGATTATGGGTTTACCTGAACGTACTATGGGTATTGAATGTTCTCTTACCTGCTTGTACATTAGAAATGATTATGAGATGTGGATAATAGAGAGTGTGTAAGTCCGCCATCAGCTGATACTTGATTGATTATGTTAAAAGGGGAAATAGAATTTGCCCAGCAGAAACATAGGCTTTTGTTTCATGCCCTGTGTGTAGAGTATTAGGGGCTTAGGCAGAAAACCTGAGCCCTAACCAGAACTACTGAGAGAATAGATCTGCCTTTGAAGACAGGACCTATAGGAAAAAAAAGTGACTGCTTGGCTTTTTGAATTTCGACCAACCAGATAGGCTTTGGGTGCATCAAGGTAGGAAAGTCATGGTCCATGAGAGAAACCCCCTCCAGGACTGAAAGTTAAAGGAAACCAGTGAGCAATAGGCTTGTATAGTACTCTCTTGTGACCACCTGGGTCCACTTGAGTGGAAATGGGGCAAGTGCAGCAAAGAAGAAACGGGCTGAGTTTGGTACTCTTTGATCTAGGCTATGGAGGCTGGGGATGAGAGGAAGGGCTGGCTGGTCTGAAGTGCAGAGAGTTGTGAGCCTACAGGCATTGAAATAGTCCCTGAGGACTAAGGATGTGAGAGAAGGTGCTGCCTGGTCTGAAGGGAAGAGTGTGACTCCCAAACTTGGCAGCTGGTACCCATGACCTAGCTGGGATGGCTAGGGCTGAGCTAACCAGAACCTTACCAAACAAAGAGGAAGATGTTTGACACTGAGCTGGTGTTAAATTGCTGCAATTTGATGGCTCACACAGGGCTGGACTTTGCTTGTTTACGGATGCAGATGCCCAAAGTTTCCAAGCAGAAGAGAAGATTCTTCAGAGAAAAGAATGTGCTTGTCTCCTCAAGAGTGCTGGTTTGATAGGGATGGGCAAATTAGAAATTGGCTCTCTAAAATGGGGGGAGATAAAGGCATGAAATGGCTGGCTTACATGCTCTCATGGGTGTGGTTATTCTTAAACTGATGGTGAAGGGGATGTTAATTTTTGAAGTACAAAAGGGATAATGGCTAGAAAAGCCAGGGGGTAGCCTGCGGTATAGTAAATTACCTGGTATGATTTTTCTAGCTGTAAGTCTTTGTAAACTCCATGGTAGAATCTGCCATGAGCAACTGAGGAGCTCCTGATTGTTAAAGTTATCGACCTGGGGTATTTCCATTGAGAGTGGCAAAAAGCAATGTTCTGGGAAGTTCGCTCTCTCTCAGGTGCTTAGAATTCTGATGCTATGATTGGTTAGTTTGGCTACTCTGCCAGGCTCAAAAGGAGCCCTCCTGAAGGCAGAAGGTATCTCTCTGACTATTGGCTGAGAGACGGCAGGCTAAGAGGGGCTGAGAGGGACTGAGGGAGACTGAGCGTTGTTCCTGAACTTGAATTGTAGCCTGGTGCTTCCCTAATAAACCCCATAATCTGTGAGTTCTGTGTGGCACTGCGAACTATCGAACATAGGAGAGAAGTGGTGGGTGTTGTGGGAGGAACAGTTTTGTGAAAGGGCTGGAGGGAGGCAGCATGTCTGGCCTCACAGGAATAGGCCTTGGGCTACTGATGATGATTTTGTCTTCCTCTTGTGTGTTTAGAGGAGGTCGAAAGATGCAGCCTCCTTGCCCGTTTAGCAATATGTTAAGTTGAAGATAATAAGACGTCATAATGGATATTCCCAGTAGATGATTAGAATTTCAAGAGTCAAATTCAAAGAGCATCATATTAAGAGATGTTTATTTAAGAGTTACCAATTTATAATGACAGTTGAAGCCATGGGAAATGACCATAGATGGTGAAAAAGAGACAACCCAGGACTAATCCGGGGCAATTGGGGGGAGGGAGGGGTCAGGCAGGGAAAAGTAAGAGAAGAAAATATAAAGCTGGAAAAAATATAAAGAAGGAATAATTAAAAAGGGATATAAAGAAGGCCCAGCTGACATAATCTGTGGAGGAAAAGAGGAGACAGGAGAAAGGATTAGTCAATGATATTAAGAGCAAGAAACAATTAAAGAAAAAAGCATCCATTGAATTTAATGTTTGTGAAACAATGACAATTTGTAAAAATGTAGAAAAAATAAGTTTTAAAGTTTTACCTAAAAGAAATATATTGAAACATTGATCAGTTAAGCAAAACATAAAGTGAACTTCATGCTAATACTTACTTCTAAATGAACTTTGATTTTAAAATATGCCTTTGGCAAAAGAGGAGCTCTAGTGGTTCAGTGGTTAAAGCATACAGCTGTTAACCAAAAGATCGGTAGTTCAAACTCACCAGCTGCTCTGTGGGAAAAAGATGAGGCAGTCTGCTTCCATAAAGATTTACAGCCTTTTAAACCCAATGGTGCAATTCTACTCTGTCCTATAGGTCACTATGAGGAGGAATCAACTTTATGGCAGTGGGTTTGCTTTGGTTTAACAAGATAAACTCCAAACCAACAAAAGTTATACATTTGGGACATTT